CGCCCCCGCCTCCCCGGCGCAGGGGTTCCGCTGCCGCCGCCCTCCCGCCGGTACCGCGCGCCGAGGCTGCACCGTCCAGGTAGGCCGCGCCCGCACCCGCCGGGGCGCTGCCCTGGCCGCTGCGCCCCGCTCCTCCCCGCCGCGGCGGGCGGCACCGGGGCATTGCGAGGGGGGAGGCCGGGGGCGCTGCCGCCGGACCGGACCACATTGGGCCGGACCGGGGCGGGGGTGTCCCCGGGGCGAGGCCGGTCCCGCGCCCCCTCCCCCGCGCCGCGGCTGTCACGGCGCGCCGCGCTCCGCCATTGGCCGCCGCCGCTCCGCGCGCCCCGCCCCTCGCACGCCCATTGGCCGCGGCGCTCCCCGCGCGCCGCCTCGCGCGTTCCGATTGGCCGGCGGGGCGCGGCGCGGCGCTCCGGGTGCCCCCGGCCCCGGGGTTCCGCCGCGGGCCCCTCCGCGCGGCAGCCTCGTCCCTCCGCCCCCCCCGTCCCATTTTGGGGTAAAAACCGCCCAGAAAGGGGCTCCCCATCGGGTGCCCCCTCGGGCTCGCCCGTAACCGGGCAGGTAACGGGAGAAACGCAGGATTTTTGGTGTAAAACCCCTCGGTTCCGGCTCAGCAGCCGCCTCGGGCCCTTCCGTGCCCCCAGCGCCGGTGTCCCTGTTKCCTGGCTCCTGAAATGGCTCCCGTCGCAGTGAGCCGTGCCTCCGGGATTTGGTGCCCTCCCGAGCGGTGGGAGCAGGAGCCAGCCTCGGGGAAATGCTCTGGGAATGGGACGGTTAATATCCCGAAACGTGGAGTTTTGCCGGCGCGGGAGCCGCAGGGTCACGGAGCTGGGAGCCACGGAGAAGAGGCACGAGGGCGCTCCCGTGGTGCGGGYATTTGGCTGGTTTCCTGCGCAGAAYATCCCAGCTGCGAATCCCAGGGATGAGCATCCCTACAGGGGTGTTCTCCCCGCGACGCTTCCCGCCTTCCGAGGAGAGCAGCACCTCAGATCCCGAAACTTTATTTCGCTCTTAAGCGAGTCGGAGCTTGGGCCGTTTGGCTTGTCGCGTTGGATGTRGGAATTGCCAGCACTTGGTAGCTCTTCCAGTTGGAGCTGCCGGAGCAAGAAAGACTTCCGAGGACACCGCGTACCTCTAAACCCGGCCGGTTGTAACGCGCCGGAGGGTTTGGGCTCCGCCRTGGGAGCACTCGCCCTGCCGCGGTGTCCTCCGGCTCGCTCCGGGAAGCCGGGGGCAGTCCTGCACCCTGCCTTTTGCAGCGCTGGTTGTGCTGCGGGGAGCTGCTCGGCTCCTCGTGCGGCTGCGGGGCCGCGCGCGGAGACTGGGACCCGTTTGCAGGTAATTCCGGGAGGAACCGGCGCAATCCGCACGCCCTGGGTCGCTTTCCAAGGAGCAGATCCCTTATCGAGATGAGGGGAACCTTGCGCTGTTAATTGATGGCTGGGCTTTGCATTGGCACGCCGGCACGGGTGTCGCGGTTCTGTGACGAGCGGTCCCTGGTTTATTTAATGAAGATGCTGCCGAGGAGGGTGGTTAATCACGAGCCTGCAGAGCCCCCAGGCTCGCTTGGCTTCGCCGTCCTCACCTGGGGCACGGCTTTGACGCTGACCTCGTAGGAAGCCCRGCTTTAATAAGGGAAATATTAGCACGTGTCCCTGCAGGCGCTACCTGGGGAAATTCTTTAGCGTTTTAGCSCTTCATAATGTTACATTCAGGGAGCAAATTTTGTTAAAATACTGCAAAGTGTCCCAAAACGCTGCCGAAACGAGGGACCTGGCACTGGTCCTGGGCTGGGACTCGTGGGCAATAGTGCTGCTGCTTGTAACGCCCAGGCTGCTCCAGCTCTGTATGTTGTTCTATACGAATGTGAGTCGATGTGGTTGTTGGGTGGTTAATGTTCTTAAATGCAGACACCTCCATGGGGTGCTGGTCACCTGCGGTGCTGCCGTTGTCCCATGGGCAAGTGATCACCCAAAGGAGCCTCCTGCAGCCTCCGGCGCCGCTCTGCGGTCTCCTTTCCCTGCTGCTTCTTTCCCTTCTGGATCCCCGATCCTTGGGAAGGGAAAGGAAAAGGAGAGGCAGGATTTCACCGAGGTTAACTTTAAAGCAGCTCTCTCCTCTCTGAAGATTTAATTGAGCTGGAAGATGAAAGGGCAGCTGTTTACGGGATTTCTGGGGCTGCTTGCTTGACTGCTCGCGTTTGCCTTTAATGAAGGAGCTTTCATGTCTGAGTTGCATTCAGAAATTTTAAGATATAATTTCTCCTGTTTTTCAAAGCAAGTTGACTCATCAGTTTAGTCTTGTGCTGCAGACGTAAAATGTCGGAAGATGCTGTTCTTTCTGCCATAGTAAAAATCCCTCATTCTGTGACTTTACTCTATTTTYTTCCTGAAACACCGAAGTTCCAATACACCTAAATAAAACTTGGGGAATAAATGTTCTCCTTTTGCATGTAAGCCTAGCAGAGCCTTAGTTTTTCTATAGCATGCCTGCGTTTCACTTMGTGTTTCCTATTGCTTTCATAGCAATAGGAATCCCTTTCCTCGACCTCCGCTCTGTATTTCGTAGCTATCTCCGTGTGAGATGTTGCAGCTTGAGCTTTTCTCTCCCATGCTGATATTCCTCCTCCCCCTGCTTCATCCTGCTCTCTGTGAGCTAAACATGAGACCTTCTATCCCCAYGTGTTCCCAGAGCCCCATCTTCTGCAAATCCTTCCTTCCAAGCCCTTTTTTTTGGCTTTTGTGGCTGKTTTTTTAACCTCCTGTGTCCTTCACGTGCCCTAATTGCGTTAGGGTTTGAAATGTCCTCTTTGACCAGCAGTTTGCCCGGGTTTGTTTTAATCCTTCTTGCCCTTGTGCTCTCTGGTAACTCCTGGSTGTTGGGCGCGCTCTGCGGTTCCCTTTAATCTCGGGAGCCAACGGGCTTGAGTTTGGGCAGGAATTCCAGCTTTGCAGCCCTCTAGCTAATATTTAACAGCCTTTACCTGGGAACCGAGCACGACCTGTGCGCCACATCTCCACTTTTAATCCRGGCTTTGAAATATCGGAGGTGACAGATGAAATGCATGGTAATGAGATGCTCCAAAGGCAAGCTCGCTCCCGATTCCAAGGGAAATGAGCTTTTAATTAGTGCCTTATCTCRAGTGTGCCGCCTTTCCTTGGCTCCTCGCTCGCTTGCCGCTTGTGCAAGTGGTGTTGAGGATGGGCTGGTGTCCCCTGGCGTGGGACCCAACCGGCCTCATCCACTGTCTCGGGATCATGTGCAGCTCCTGGAGCACAAACCGACTGGGCTTGGATGTGATTCAGGATTGGAGGGTGCCATTGTCCAAGTCGGGTTTCCCGACTTCCATGGAAATGGAGATGTTGACGGGATGCTCCCGCTACAGCAGCTCACACGTGGACACTGCAAAGCTCACATCGAGTCATTCAAAACTTGAAAACGTCAAAAAAAATCAGTTCCAACCAGTAGATTATGCACTCTGGATAAGGGACTTCTAGCTCGAATTTTACCGTGTATCTGCTGCTGACCTTGCTAAGGTTAAAGCAAAGGTTTCTGTTTGGTTTTGCTCTTCAAATGCATTCTTCCCAGCAGTATTTGTTCACAGTTCTTGCAAAATACTGGGCAAGAGCTTCGAGCATTAGAAGGTGTTTATGTAGTCTGAATTCGGTTTGAGATATATGCACAAAATACTTAGCTTACAGAAAACGAATTCAAAAAAGGAGCAGTTTTTAGTATTAAAAAAGGTAGCTTTGTGTACCTGTCTGTGTTCAATTTGCCTCCAATTGCAGATACGTCTCTACAGTGGCAGAATTTATCAGGTTGCTGCCTTAATAGTTTCAGAGKTGTTGCTTTTAAGCAGAGCTGTGAGACGTTTTGGAGTTGCAGAGAGATCAGGCTTAGGCAGAAACTGCTCCCGAGTAGCTCATGAGGGTCTCAAGTCGTGCTTGGTACCCGAGAGCTTCCCACGCCTCTGCATGCATGAAATTGCAAAGACACATAATGATATTTCTGTGTGAGGGGAGTTTTTTTCTGGAAACTTTAAGAAAACTCTCTACTTTGAGTGGCTGTTCAGTCCATCTGTGTGTGTTTGATTTCAGGTGCAACTTTTGCATCGTGCCCACAGTGGTGGGCGCGAACGAGTTGCCGCAAGCCAGGCGTGCAGGGAGCTCAGGGCTTGGAATTAGCTTTGCTTCCAATGCAAACTTTCCCCTTTTTTTCCTCATATTTCACTTTTTTTCCCCTTTTTTTCCTCATATTTCATCCTAACTGGCCTGCGTGTTCTGCATTGATGCAATGCTGCGTTGCACGAGACCCGTGTGCATCGCTGGTTTAGTTTCTCAAGGGCAACATGCAAACTCTGTGTTTTCTCTCCAGCCTTCAAAAATGAAGTGTTGAACTTTTTTATTTATTTATTTATTTATTTATTTATTTATTTATTTTGGAGCTTTTTCCTGCCTGTCCTGTAGTGCTGGTGGGTTTGGGGTGCATGGTGTGCATCAATAAGAAGTCTGTGCTGGAAACGCTGCTGTGCTGGGGCTGCTCTCACTTGGGAAACGTGGCTTTTGCCTTGTTTCTTTTTATATTTTTAATTGATTTAAGGTATGTTGAAAATTCCGGGAAGTCTCAGAAGAATAACAAAAGAAAACAAACAAACAAAAAAAACTCCAACAAAAATAAAAGCCAACAACAAAACCAGTCTAATCGGAAAGTTGGGGTGCCAGAGAGGCCAAGTCCAAGAGGGGAAACTCGGGGGTGTCGCTTGCCCATCTTGGCCCTTGAGGGGAAGCTGGAGAGCAATGAATCTAGATGGTAAAATAAACTGATTTTCATTCTAGTTGTTGCATTTAATGACTATTTGAGCTGCGCGTGCAGGTCCCTGCTGCAGTTACACTGGAAGGGCTTTGAACCAGCAGCGGTGAAAGCAGCACCTGAGGAAGCACAAGAGTTTCATCAGTCAACCTGCAGATAGCCCAGCAGCTCAGGTACAGTGCAGGGCTGTAGTATCGGGGCTGCGGAGGGGATTAAGGCAAAAAAAATAAACCCCATCTTTAAAAGTCACATCTTAGGGCTGCACTTCTTGTTACTTAGGTGACGGATTTGCAAGAACTAGTCGAATTGTTTGGAYTGAACAAGCCCTTCCCAACAAGACTCCAGTGTCCAATCAAAGACACTTCATTCAATATTTTAATTTCTCAGCATTTGTATTTTCCCTCAAAAGCTGTTTTGTTGGCTTGCGTGGCTTGGTATCACACGAGCTGGCTAGGGGCTGTTTGGATGAATGGAAATAATTGATGTTGTTGGCTTAGTTTTTCGGTAGACATTTATTTGGAGCAGGACTTAGATATAAGGATTTTGTTTTAATTGTTTATTGAGCCGACTGGGTAGGAAAGTAGTCAAAACAGGGCTGCGCTTGGAGCAGATTGTGATAAACAAATGGGCACCGTGTAGTCGGTGCGGTGAACTGAACGCCTCCTAATTACCGCGTGTTTCGAGACTTTAATGATAGTAGATAGTGTACGTCTATAACGGAAGCCTCTGTCAAAACAATTTACTGTGCCTGGAATAGGGCTCTGGCTCGTGGGCTGGGAGGAAGGGCCTACGCTGGGTTATTTTTTGATAAGCAGATTTTTTTTCTGTGATTTTTCATTGCGTGTTTTAAAGCGTTGGTTTTTGGCAAGCTGTCAGATCGATGCTCCTTGAAGTCAGAGTCCAGATTTGTGAGCGCCAAGGGCTGCTCCTCGCATCCTCGCAGCTAATTTTGTTTAAATTCTTCCCTTTTTTCAATTTTTTTTAATTTTCAGATCTTTTTTTAGCAGCACTGTGTATCTCAAGCTGTAGCACTCATCATCTCGTGCCATCCCTGCTGTTTAACGTAGGCTTTCCTCAAAATCCTAAGGAGCTTTGCCATCTTCGCAGGGCTCTTGCGTCTCTTCCTAATGATAAATGGCACCACACGGAATCCGGGTGCCTTCGGCTGCACCGCGGGAGGAGAATTTTTCCCCATGTGTTTTTGACACCCAGTTTCAAAGTGGTCAGGGACTGGGAGCTGCAGCCTGGGGGGTCCCTTTGGGTGCCCTTGCCTTCTAGCAGGTTCCTTATCCCATGGGCCCAGCCTCCAAAGTGCGGAAAATAACTTAATAATGGATTAATAGTAGTGTGACTTAATAATAAATTAATAGAAAATAATAAGCAGCGAGGCAATATGTTGCTGCTGGTGGCTAATGGGGCTGGAGGGTTTCTCGAGGCAATGGTCCCCGAGCTGGGGGTCGCTTCCCGGCGCTTAGTTGATGTTTTTGACAACCCCCCTTCCCAGATGGTTCTTGCAGGTTTTGCTGGTG